AAATGTCAATTTATTCTTGATCACATCGATATTACCATCCGACTTATAAAAATGTCAATATGTTAGACGAAAATTTAATATACTCTACTAATTCTTGAGGATGATTAGGTGGTATAAAACTTTGGCTGAACACATAAAATAACATTTGATCTCTTGACCAATGCTTATACTTAAACTTCTGATATGAGATTTTACAAGATTTTTTAAGATTTTTGAAACCCGACACTTTATTATAAATGATATCTACTCGTCTTTTTAAGATCAGAGGTTTAAATCTTCTGATATCTACTCGTCTTTTTAAGATCAGAGGTTTAAATCTTCTCATCTCACATTTGTTCTACCTTAAGAATAAAAAAAAATAGAAGTGTGGGCCATGAATTATATGAAAAATTTTCATTACAATTAATTGTAAGAAGTAAAAGTCATAAAAAGAATCCAAAGCATAAATAGCTAAAATAATGGACAAATCCTTCATAAAATTATTATCTGCATTAAAGAAGAGCAAATGGAGAAAAAAAAAAGTAGTCTATAAAATTATAACTTCCTTTAGGTATGTCTCTTTATTTATCACTCATTTCTACAATATCCTCATAATTTCATCCATTAATCCAACCTAACTAATTTTTTTGAGAATTTACTTTTCACCCATATAATAAATAAATAAATATATTCATGTATATATTTAAAACATCAATTATCATAAAATTAAAACTACTCATTATCTATCATTTTGATGCCATCTAGAGATCAAAATAAAAATTATTATTGTAGACAGCCATGATTATAAAAAATGTGATGTGTTATACACCAAAAATGAAAATATATATACACCATTATTACTCTATATTTTTGGAAAAGTCATTAAAGCAAATATTTTTCATCATGTGAGACAACCAGTGTTTGGACACAGATCAGCATTTTATCCCCACTAATGATCTTATAATTATGATTAATTTTTTTTTGTGGAATTAATTTTTTTTTCTTTTTTTGAAGAGATATTTTTGCCATTTTGTGTGGTACTCATTTGAAACTATTTTTTGCCTTTAATCCTTTTAAAGGCTATTTGATAACTTTAGATAAAGTTTAAAAACCCTCCCACTTTAAAAGTGAAGGCCATGCACATGGATTAAAATGATAAGAATAATTATTAAAATCTAATCATTCATTAAGGTTATGAAATTAAGCAATGATGTTGAAGATTTTTGGCTCAAAATATCAATCTAGATATCATTGGGTTAAAGCTATGACTCTTATTTTTTAAAAGTTTTAATTATATTACCAATGTTTTGAATTTAGTCAATCAAATTTTTACTCTTTAGTCGATGTTTTAAAAAAATGATAGAAAAAGAAATTAAAAATGGTTATTTTTCAGTTCACCACGGGGTGTTTCTTTTAATGAAGTAGTTAGTGGAATAACATATTAAATATATATCTTTTTCTTTCATACATTTTTAATATGTCTATGAACAACTTAATTAATAGTCTATTTTAGTTGTCTTTTTTCTTTCTTTTCTTTTTTAAAAACTTTTAGTTGTCTATCACATCACTACTACCATTTTGGTTTCTATGGTGTTGATGTCATTAAATAAGGATAGAAAAGGGAGGAAAAAAAAGGTCATAAGATGTAAAAAGCACATCTTTTACGAGAAAAAAACAGAGTTTTTCAGATTTTTACTTTTTGTGACTTTTTTTCAACATCACAAAAAGTAGGGAAAATTTCAAGATTACATGACGTTTAAAAACTATCATGAAAGGATTGAGGTGCGATTTTAGTGCAAAAAGATGGAAATTGATGGATTTTTTTGTTATTTATGATGGAGATTTGCAAAATGGTGGAACGTGTTTTTTAGTAGGAAAAGACCGAGATTTACGTATTTTTCATATTTATAATATTTTTTGAACGTCACAAAAAAAGCCAAAAATTTTAAAATTCTATGACAATTAAAAAACGTCACGAAATGGTGTGGCGCAGTTTATAGCGGAAAAATATGAATATCGCATGCACATTTTTGGATTATGACAATACAACTAAAATTTAATCTAATAGACATGGCATGTCAGTGTTTGATTAACTGTATTAATTGATGATATGGTCTAAGTAGAAGTATAATTAAAAAAAATTATATTATAGAAAGTTATAAAAAAAAAGTATAATTAAAAAATAAAAGATATAATTAAACTTTTTAAAACTTATACTTAGTAGAAACAATACTCACAATTTAATAACTAAGGTTATAATTTAATAAAAAAAATAAACATTCTATTTTTTATATTTTAAATTATTTGTATACATAATTAGTACCAATTTTAAAAAAATTAAATTTTTGTGTGAAGATAATTTTTTTACAACTAAAGATGTTTCTTATTCAAAATTGAGACTTAATTAACATTGATTTCAAATACATAACAACTTTAATCTTTACAGAACTATTCAATTTGTATTTGTGAATCCAAAATTTGTAATTATTGACTTTAATATATTAGGGAACCTTCGAGTAATTCCCTTCTTAAAAACATTTGCCATATTATTTTAGAGAAGTAATTAAAATAGGGGTGTACAGGAGCTCTCATTTAAGCATCATCATGTGGGGACGAGAACGGGAGAAAATTTTTCTTTCTCAGTGACCTAATAATGAGGACGAGGTTGGAGAATATGTTCTCCTTCCCAACCCTATTTAGTCATTATATTCTAATGTTTATATTTTGAGACTTATCTTGTATTGATAATTTGAACCGTAAGTTTGAAATTTTAGAATCCGTTGTTTCATGAATTATCAAACATGTTTTGAAAATTGAAATTTTTTTTCTTAAAATGGAGACTCTTCTTCGAGGAAATTAACATTTAAATAGAAATTTTCTCAAAAACTAAATGAATGAGGAATCATGCTGGAGAACTCAGTTCCTGCGAGTTTTTAGTGGAAAATTCTCACCTCGATTTCTACGAAATTTTGCATGAAAATATTTATAAGAACCACGAATGAAATAAAGAATGGAGATGAAGGAATCTCTATCATGTTCGTCATAACCATCCTAATCGCATATATAATACATTAAATTAATCACTAATAGACTTTAATAATAAATGATAATTTGTTGATTACCATGACCGAAATTTGACCAAGATATTAATTAATTAAAATCATAGTAATCACTCATTAACTTATTGATTGACTGGTATACATGTAATTTTTACCTTTTCCTTATATTTGTAATTATTTTTTGAGCTGTTATTTTTTATCTCTATTATACCATATTTCTAGCTACTCATTACTAGATTCTACTTGTGATTTCTAAACCTTAGAAAATGAATATAGTTTTTAACCGTTTTAAAATTATCATTTAATTAGCTAAAGCCATAAAAAATATTTTATGGAACTATAAAGTGGCATAGGGGTATATTCCAATTACAAAAAATGAAAATAAAAACAAAAATAAACAAAAACAACTTAATATTATCCTTTTTTTAATACGAGTTAATATTAGCCTTGACTATATACGGGGTATTATTTTATCATTTAAGTATATATTAATTCTATAAAAATAAAAATGAATGATTACTTCCATATATTGATTAACTACTATAATTTTAACTATTTTTTTCAGAACATATGGGAATAGAAATAATCGAAAGTGCATTAACGAGTTGAGCTATACTCAGATTAAACCATATTACTTAACTAACCTAGGTATTAATTGTTAATTTTTTTAATGAGTTTACTTAATGTTTAATTGTAATAATAGATTTGTCAAAAGTGAACGCTCGATCATAATTAACATATATCTTCAACTAAAAGGTTGTGAATCCGATTCCCGGACCTATTTTGTTTAACTAAAAAGGAAAAAAAATTGTAATAATTGATTTACATATTCTGACTTTTCCTAGATTTGCAACTACTCTAACACCTTTGGATCCCTATTACCAATAACCTCTGGATCCGCCATTATTCACCATCAATTTTTCATTAATGATTTAATATAATCTAAATTTGTTTGAAACTAAACAATTATATATAATTTTAAATATCACATAGATATTTAATCATTAAGTTAATTAACAAAACACGTGCCAACTTTAAGTATAATCAAGTTCGAATCTTTACGTCTATATTTTCATTTTTATTTTTCTGGAACAATTACAAGATACTGGGAGTTCAAACTCATTAAGTTAGTTGAGGAACGCTCATGTCGACACACTAGCTAGTAAACAAAACACATAACTATACTAAATAGTTCTTTTTTAATAAAGAGTTCACCACCTAAAACAAAATATTCGAAAATTTAGGATCTGTTTGATTGGTGATCTAGAAATAAAAATCTGAAGACAAGAGATTTAATGAAAACATATTTAGATTTTTTATTTTCAGAGTTTTCAAATATATGTTTGGTACCAGATTTGAAAATTGAATTTCAAGTTAAAAATTGTTCAAACGTGCATTTAAAAATCTATTTATAAAATAATAGTAGTTACCAACTAAATATTTAGTTTAATCTAAAATAATATCAATTAATTTATTAATATTTTTGTTATAAATTTTTAGTATTTTACAATGTTATATAATATATAATATATAATATATTATATTTTAAATATTTTAATTTTAACAAGATAGAGTTCTTGACATGAAATAATATATTTATCAAAGTTTTTATTTTTTCTTTTTAAATTTAATTCTCCATTTTAAAGTTTTAAATTCAAGACCGGATAATACTCCAAACATGTTTTCATAATTTCCATGATTTGGATTACACCCTCCAAAAACCGTTTTAAAAAATAAATCTGTCAAAACGCATTTTCACTAAATCCAGTAAATCTGAGAACAAGAAATAGAATTCAGACGACCAACTAAACCTGTCCAGAGATTTGAAATAGATTTAAATAAAATAAAAAGTTACTACCAAACTACAATTTAAGGCCAAAAAGAAAAATGATCAAGGGAAGAAAAGTATAATCTATCTAAGCTCATAAACAAAATTTAAAGGAAAAGAAAAATGATTCTTTAAAACAGCTTCGGAGTGGCCTTACTCTTTTTTTTTTCATCAGTCCTTCCCTTTGTTTGTTTCATACGCAACAAATTGGAAAGAGCTTAAAAAAAACGAAGAGTGGAGTGTGGATTATGCGCACCGAGAGAAGAAGAAATTAGAGCAGACGACAATTAATGACGATTGATGAGAGCTGTTTCCACTTGAGCCTCGCAAGATCCTATAGCTAAACCGCACCAAATCCAAATGGAATAGTCCCTTCTCTCTCTCTCTCTCTCTCTCTCTCCAATTTCCCCTCTTTTTCTCTCATCCTGTGGAAGAAGAAGAAGAAGAAGAAGAAGAAGAAGAAGAAGGAGCTCGAGTTTCTGAAAGCAGAGCCAGTGCGCGAAAGTGGGGTTCTGATTCTGAGCATGTTTTTGCGTTTTGTTGAGCTGAATTGCTATTATTTGATAGAAATTGAACTGGGTCTTGATTCTTTGTCATTTTCTTCTTCAGAACTTGTTTTCTTCTTCTGCAACTCTTTCGATTTTCTGGGAAAGTGGGGTTTTCGTTTGTTTCTTTTTACTCTGTAAAAATGTGGGTGATTCTCTGTTTGTTCTTTCTCTCGTTCCTTCCAAGTTTCCCGCTCTATCTCTCTCTCTCCTCACTTGGAAGAAGAAGCTCTAATCTCTGAAAACAGAGGAAGTGCGTCAGAGTAGAGTAGGTTTCTGATTACGAGCATGATTTTTTTTTTTTTTTTGCATATTTTTAGAATAAGTGGAAATGGGTTCTTGATTTTTCGTCATTTTCTTATTGAAAACTTGTTTCTTCTTCCAATGGCTGCTTCTGACTCTTTTCGATTTTGTGGGAAGTGGGGTTTTCCATTTGTTTCTTTCGCTCTGTTCGAGATTTTTAGCTTGTAACAATATATGGGTGATTCTCTGTTTCTCTGTTTTGTTTAGCAGAGTGTGAGAAGAAATGAATGCGAGAGTTCGACCCAACATTCAATTTCAGATAGAGAAAGCTTCAATTCATGATAAAGTAAGTTGTTCAACCATTCTACTGGCAAATCTCATACTTCAACCCACATTGTTTGGAGATAAAAGAAACAAAATCAAGTTGATTATTATAATTTCTTAAAATTTTCTTTTCACCTGCAAAATTGATCTTGTTTGGCTTCTGGGTCTCTTTTACCACTCTCAAGTAACGAATAATCTTCCACCTTATGCTATTTTTCGCCATGAATTTCTTCTCAAAAGCAGGAGAAAATGAAGACAGAAGGAAGCAAAGAGATGGGTGATGAAAAAGTTGGGATTAAGAGCAATAGAAGAAGATTAAACAGAGAAAAGAAAATGGCATTGCTGCAAGATGTATTGAATTCCTCCTTTTCTCTCTTTTTTTGAGAAGACATTTTTCTTTTTCAATCAGATGTCCATTTTTTTCCTGTTCGACTGTACATATTTTTGGCTGCATCTCTGAATTTACAGGTGGATAAGTTAAAGAAGAAGCTGAGGCATGAAGAAAATGTTCACAGAGCTTTGGAGAGAGCTTTTACTAGACCTTTAGGAGCTCTGCCTCGTCTTCCTCCTTATCTCCCTCCATCTGTTAGTTTCTTTTACTTTTACCTTATTTATCTAAACCATAGTTTTTTTTGTCTCTCTAAGATGTTGGCAAAAGTAAGGTATAGATGTGACTTGTGAGTGATTAAATTAGAGTAAGTAGAATGAGCTGTGCTGAAATCATATTCGTGTTTTTTTCTCTATAACGGGGTATTGGGGCCCACTCCTTGCGTTATGCTTGTGGTCCGCCTCTTTGATTCCCGGGGAGGCTTCGCCATCATTAGCTTTGGAGAGTGCTGGAAGTAGCTCAATTAATGTATCTCCATAATAGTAAGTTGCTTTTTTGGTCCTTGTAGACATTGGAGCTTCTAGCTGAAGTAGCTGTTCTGGAAGAGGAAGTTGTCAGGCTTTCCGAGCGAGTTGTGAATTTTCGGCAAGACCTCTACCAAGAAGCTGTCTTCGTGTCCTCACAGCGGAATGTAGAAAATTTTGTCCTTGGCATTGAGAGTATCTCAACCGAAAGTTTAAAGCATGGTCGATCGAAATCCTTTTCACCAAAATCGGCATGTCGGTCTCAACCACCACTTGCAAGAAGTATTTCGAGTAGGAAGATGTTATTTAGTCACAATGTCTCTGATCAAACAGGGAACTATTCTGCCAGACTCATAAATGCCAGGCAAACCTCTTGGAAATCAAATTCACCTTCAAAGGAGAATCAGTTTGGTTCTTATTATGTGAAAGATAAACCTTCTCCAGAAAAGAAAACCACTAAAATTGTCAGCCCATCAAGGAAGACTCCAACTAAACATGAAGTTGCAGAGAAGAGTTTTGATGCTTTGAAGTTGCAGGTGTCGGTTGATTGTTATTTAAGAATTTTGAAAATCAAAGTTCTGAAAACTTTTACAAACCATGTAAAGTTTTTAGTTACCTTTATCTTCTATCATAATATGTTTATTGACGTCATATCATAATTTTCCAGCTTGGGTCCAGGTTACTTGATAATGAAAGAGCAGAAGAGAGTTCTTTTGGTGCGTCAGATGATCTCGAGTCCAAAACATCCCCTAATGAAATTTCCGAGGGTATTGTGAAGTGCTTGTGCTCCATTTTTGTTGAAGTGAGCACTTCAAGCGACAAATGTGTCGAATCACAAACTCCTCAAGCATCATCGGACGCCTACACGAGCAATGTAGAAGCAGAGCTTCTGGATCCATACAATATATGTTCAGAATCCAAAGGAAATGATATCGGTTCCTATCGACATCTCTTTGCAGTCGAGGCAAATTCGATTCATCTCAATGAAATGGCTAACACACTTCCCCGTATCCACAGACTGAAGTATGCTACTCTGCTTTGTAAGTTTTAGGATTTAAGCTTATTGTTTTCGTTTGAACTTAATTCTTTTTTAGTAATGATGTTCAGATACCTACTTGGAAAGCTTGCCTCTGTGAGCTTAGAGGGTCTTAATCAGCAGCAGAAGCTGGCCTTTTGGATTAACACCTATAATTCTTGCATAATGAATGTGAGTTTTCTCTAATTATCTCAAATAAGCTTTCCTATGTGAACTTAGAGTGAACCTTTTCTTTATAAGCTTCTCGAGTTTATGTGTCTTCGAAGAATGCTTTAGGATGATCCGGAATATAACTGAATGATACATTTCCAGGCACTTTTGGAGCATGGAATACCTGAGACTCCAGAAAGAGTTGTAGCTCTAATGCAAAAGGTAGCAGGATCATTTCCATTCATCATCTTCTTTCGAGATTTCTTTTCACGTCTAGTCTCATTGTTGCACTCTAGTGGAAAGGGCTTGGATTTTTGGGGAAGTTTCATATGATATCACGAGTTCGACCTCTATGTTAAAATGATGTTTATAAATGAAAAGCCTTGATGTCTCTCAAAGTTGCCATTAGGATGTCACAAAGAAAATGTAGTTTCTGAATAAGTCCATGCAAGTCCAAGAAATTAAACACCGATCGAGGAATTAATTCTTTTGATCCTTTTGTCTATGTTTGTATCAGGCCGAGATTGTCGTCGGGGGGTACATTCTCAATGCAATGACAATCGAGCATTTCATTTTGCGACTGCCTTACCATCTGAAATTTGTAAGTTTACTCTCTAAACTTCACTCCCATGATTAGTAGTGATCAAGCGCAATCTAGTTTTATTGTGCCATTGTCTGAATTCCAATTGCGTGTTCATGAACCGTTACTCTTGAGTCCATCCAACCTCTCTCTTTTCCCTTTTGGCAAATCAGATGTGTTCAAAGGCCATCAAAAGTGATGAGATGAAAGCGCGAGATGTGTTTGGATTAGAGTGGTCTGAACCATTGGTTACGTTTGCTCTTTGCTGCGGAAGTTGGTCGTCTCCTGCGGTAAGTTTGCACTTCTCCTAAAAGCACCTAAGTCCCTTCTGATTATCTAACCAGACACTATGAAAATTTTGAAAAGTCATCTGAAACACACTCGTAATCAACATATATGCCTGCACTGATCCACCATACGAATGAAATGAAGGTGAGAGTCTACACGGGAAGTAATGTCGAGGACGAGTTAGAAGAGGCAAAGAGAAGCTACTTACAAGCAGCAGTTGGAATATCAAGGAGGGGGAACAAGATAATGCTTCCAAAACTATTGGATTGGTATTTACTTGATTTTGCAAAGGATTTGGAGTCATTGGTGGATTGGGTTTGCTTACAACTGTCTGATGAGCTTAGAAAAGAAGCTGTTAAATGCCTTGAAAGGAGGGGACGGCAGCCTGTTGAAGAGTTTGTGCAAGTGGTTCCTTATGATTTCAGTTTTAGATTGCTTTTCAACAAATTAGATTTGTGATATAGAAAATGCAGTTCAAAGTATATAGAATATATTATGTGTGGGTCTTGCAATAATAAAAGTGATGCTGGGTGTGATTTTTTATTGGACTCAATAAGATTTTTAAACTCGAACGAACTAAAGATGATGTACTTTTGGTTGAAACATAGCGTCGAACTTGTTTTGAAAGTAAAACTCGAATGAACCAAGATTAATGTCACTTACTATAGTCTGAACAGTACAATATATGGAAGTAAGAATTTAAATTTACGATCTTTTAGTCAAGGATATAAGTCTTAACCAATTAAGATATATTCAAAGTTGATGCCTTCACTAAAATTGTCGATGGGGAAACTTTTCAACTTGTGATCAATGAATTGTGGGTCATTGTCAATTATTGAATCTTGGACTTGGTGATAGATGTTCTTTCAGACCAACCTTCTGTTTTCATGATTTTCTTGTACAAAGTTTTGGTACTCAAGTTAGAAATAGTGAATTGTACAGATACAACTGTAGAGTTAAGTACACCAGTGTAATGCTAGCCAAACAAGAAAATGCCTAGATTAGGCATGTTACCTTTTCGTGGGGACGGGGCTGCTCTAAACAAGGTGGAAAATTCTTGATTATTGAAGAGTGGGGAAAAATTCTTGGTCCCACCCCTTCTCGTTACCTATCCTTGTCCACTTCTTTTATGCATATTACATATATATATATATATAATAATAATTTTTTTAATAACAAGAGATTGGAAGCTTCGAACTCATAACCTCTTGATCAGAGATAGTTACCATTTATAGGCAAATTATAGATTTATTGTTGTGACTTATGAGATATTGTATTTTTAGTTTATTTGGACTAAAATAAAATTTATTTTATTTTATTTTTATTTATTAGAAGATTTAAAAATTTCTTAGGAGATTTAACCAATTTTAAAATTTCTACCAAATGTCATTTGATTGAGATTTTAAGAATAATACTTAATGGAGAATAATTTCCTGCAAAAATCCCGATCTACGCAATTTCTCCCAGGACATCAACCGTAAAATTTAATGGGAAATTTGTAGGGATGAGAATGAAATGGAGGCGGGGATGGAACCGAGGAGTAAAAGGTTCCTTTTACAGTGTTGGTGAGGACAATTCTATGACACTGGTTACTCAAAGGTTGCCATAAGATTTGCTAACCATGACAAGCAAAAAGACATGTGATATTCAGGGAAATTTACCTTGGCCAACCCTAGTAAATTCCATCTGAAAAATTAGATTCAAGGATCACAGTGTTTTACCCACAGTTACATTCCTTCAACTCAACAATACTACCAAGTTGAAAATTTCTTTCGTTTAGATGTATTGATGCATTAACTAAAAAAATTAATTATTCTTTTCAAAGAAGATGTATTGATGCACATTAGATTTAGTTTTAAGGATCATATTCATCTATTACTTTCGATATATATTTTACATTAGATATGTTTTTTCTCCTTGCGTTTGGCATCTAAAAATTAGTTAAAAAGTGATACGTAGTGGTACCGTACTTCAAGTAAGCGACGTCATTGATCGTATTTATTGGTCTTGATGAAGTAATGACAAAGAAAGAATTGCTCAAATACTAGTAAGCGAGACTTATTTAGGTCATGAATTTCAGTTTTTGAACATGAAAATTGCAATACAAGCATCTCATCTTTCCAATAAATTTTAGATTTAAATACTATTTTAGTCCATATACATTCGATTTTGGTTTATTTTAATCACCAAAATTACAGAATTTCCATTTTGTTTCCTATACTTTCCATTCATATATTTTTAAAAAGCAATCATTTTGGTACCTTTATTTTCATCTCATTTCTTTGATCTAAATTCTAGCAACTTTATCCATTAATTTCTTGAAATGTAGCCATCAATTTGTATTAAAAATTTTCCATTATCTATAAAATTTGTATTAAAATTTTACGAGTAGATATCAAAACGGTCACTTGTTAAAAATACAAGATCAATATGAACGTTTTGAAAGTACAGTAACCAAAATAAACCATATCTAAACGTAAAGAGACCAACAAAAACCAAAACTAAAGTATTGAGACCAGAATAGCATTTAAACTAAAATTTTAAATAATACACATTAATAATCAGAAGCTGTAAATAGGTTACTTGTTAATATCTCTTGTTCCTACATTTTTCAGTCAACAAAACCAATTCCAAAAGCTAATAGAGGGTGAAAAAGAATGAGATACCTAACCAGCAAAATACAAAATACAGCAAAATGTATCCAAAAAAAAAGCCCTGAGCCAAGCTACCAATCACTAATAATGGATTTATATAAAAACAATGGAGCCCCAATGGAGGCGAAGAGATGGAGGGGAAAAATACACATCCAAAAACACAAACTATATATATATATATAATACATGAACTCTAGTACTCTCTCCAAAAGCAGTTTTCAAATGCTTTCTGTTGCAGCAGCTTTGTTGGAGTATGGAAGCAAACCACAAGTAATGGCCAAATCCTGAAAGTTCACTTCAAAGCAGAGAGTAGTTATTTTAGCCAAACGGTGACGGTACAGGCTCTGCGAGAGCATCTGATCTTTTGATGCTTCCCATGCCACAGATTATGCATCCAGGAGATGTTAGAGCCAAAAATTTAGCACCGCAAAGATCACATACATCATAACCTATTGTCGACAATCGGCTGAGGGTGGCAGCACAGAACATCGATGGATCTTCGAGTGGATCGATGGACTTGTTCATCAAGCCCCTTTGGACACAAATGTCAATGAGGCTCCTCAACTCGTCTTGCTTACTTGCGGGAGCTTTGGAGAAGAGAAGTTCAAGCATCTGTTTGGAATAAGAATAATTCTGAACCTCCATATTCCGTTTTATGGCAGTTCGAATGCAATTTATTCGATGCTTTGCCAGAAGAGGCAAAGAACCTAGATGGCGTGATAGCCTGCCCATCTCGTCTTTGGCACTGATTGCACTCGGTCCTTGAACTCTTTGCAGTCGTCCAATTTCCTGCAGAAAATGAACTTGTTATACCAGCATGGTCTGGGATTGCTAAAATATTGCCAATGTAAAATTTTTTATTCATAAAATATTTGCTTCTATTTCGCCAAAACTTCAGTCCATAGAAAATAAAGTAGGGAACGAAAGGACCTCAGCAATCATTTATAGACACAATAAAGGTTAAATTATAATTTTTGCCAATGATTACTAAGTTTCTAAACTTTAAAAAGTATCTAGTATTAAAGGACCTCACCAATTATTTAGGTAAATAAAGGTTACGTTATAATTTTGGTTCCTATAGTTTGTAAACTTCAAAAAGTATCTAGTATTGAAAGATACAATAAAGGTAATATTATAATTTCAGTCTCTGAACTTTAAAAGTTTCTAATAGGTCCTTGAGAAGAACCTAACAACCCCTAAACTTTCACGTTTATATCTAATAGATTATAGATCCCAAAACTCAACCTTTTAACCCATTTTTTAAATTTTATGGACTTATTCGTACAAACCTCAAAGTTAAGGACTAAACTTGTAATTTAACACCTAATAAAAATTTAGCACCTAATAAAAATGACAGTACCTGAAGAAGGGTAACTGCTATCTTGTACTGCGCACATATGGTCGCTTGAGCTTTAATATCAGCTCCACGAGAATGGTCTTTGGCAAGTGCAAGAAAAGCTTCATCAAAACAAGACAAAGCATCAGAAAGATGATTCTGCTCTAGATGCGCTAGACCAGTCTTGAAGCATACGGAAGCAGCAGCTCCACGAGGAACCTGCATGAGGAAATTAATATGTTGGAAAAGATGAAGAAAAGAAACTAGACAACAAATGAAAGGTTACTGTTAGAGCTAGAGAGGAATGATGCCATTGCAGATAGTTAAGCAAGTATTTGTGAACCTGTCCAGGTCGCACAGAAGTTGGTTGAGGTGCAGGCTTTCCAGAATCACCAGAATCTGGAACTCCTAGGACACTGAGATCAAGAGGCTGCGAGGGAAGTGAAGGCCGAACTGCCTGAACTTGAGGCGGTGGCATTGGAGTGGCCTGACCCAATGACTGGGGTGGTACACCACCATCCGGTAGTCCAACTGATTCGAATGATACAGGAATTGCTGGTTGCTGGGTCGCTTGAGGGGGAACACCACCATCTGAAAGGCCAACACTAACTTCAGATACATTAACCTGGTTGGAAGAGACCTTGTTGCTCTCGGGTCCATGAGAACCTGGATCTAGCTGTGAAAGGTAAGTTCCAGGAGGAGGAAGGGAAGCTGCAATCTGAAGAGAAGGAATTGTATTTTGAAAGAAGTCCTCTGGAATGGGTCTGGCCGCAACTCCCCCACCCGTGCCCTGGGAAGCAGCAGACTGCAATACTGGTGCAGGTTGTATCAATGAATCCGTGCCAAAAGGATCAATCGGGGCAGTAGAAACTATTGGAGCTGTTGCAGCAGTTGTAGCAGGAGGTTGGGACAAACTTTGCATAAGGTCCTGGGAGCTACCAGTCAATGACTTGGTTCTGCTAATGGGTGGACCAAATCCTTCCCCAAGTTTAAATTGCATAGTAGCTTCCTTAATCTTTTTCACATCGACCGTTGCAGATGTAACTGGTTTATCTCGTATTCTAATGTGAATCTTACGAGTTCTTGAAACATTCTCTTCATCACTACTGCTACCATCGTTAGTAGTACCATACATAGTTTTCTTGAATTCTTCTTCTGCTTTAGCTTGTTCGTCTGCAGAAGCTGAAGAAGAAGATTGTTTCATTAGTGTTTCCAGACCCATCAAATTATCCTTTGGCTCACCATCAGAAGATGCCTTGGATTTGTTAGAAATGGATTTTGCTAATGGCGTCTGAAGCCCAGTGGACTTATCAACACTTCCTCCAGCAGGTGTAAAGGCTTTGACCAGGCTGTCCTCCCTTACTTCAACAATGCTGCCTCTACCTTTAACTGAGCCGAGGTAAACACCAATATGATCTGCAACAATTGACGGTAAGGAACCATCATCAGTTCTCATATATGGCATCACTTCACCAGCCAGTTCCCATTGAGGTATAGCCTTCAAATTGGTAGGAGTTTTGATTTCCCAGTTTCCACCACCCCATTCTGGACCTTTAGGAACCACGCTCTCAGCAGCAAAATTAGCAAAAATGCCTTGTGTCCATCCAGTAGAGCGGACCCTCAAAATTCGCTCACAATATCGCCTCAGTTCAGAATCAGTGCCATCCTCTTCCAATTTTTGAGCAAGACGACGCAATGCACTGGGGTTAAGGTGGCAGATAAACAAATCAAGTATGCTTTCATTGTCTGCTATAACTTCAAAAGTTTCTTTGGCACTATCGAACTGACCAAACCTGCAAGCTTAATTCAGTTACTACAGCTGTAAAAAGAAACTTTCATAAATTCCAATTAAGAAATGAGGAAATCATTGTTCATCAGAAATTTTTTTTTTCTTTTTTTTTTTTTTGGGAAGCAGCATTTAAAGCATCATATGGAAAAAAAAGCAACCAAGTTCTCCTAGTAATAAAATGAACTCAACCAATTGGTTAAACAAAAAATCTCCATGATGAATGTAAAAATAAAAATAAAAAATAAATAAGAATTAGCTCCAAAGGGAGGAATGCTAAAGCCTAGCGTACACTCAGTACGACGAAAAAATTAATTTGAGAATATCCGCAACAAAGAAATGAAAAGTAAAAGAAATATGATCTTATTTTCATACTTGATACATGCATAACCCAACTGCCGAAACCGATGGAACAAATGGGAGGTTGGAGGGCATCTTGGGTAATCTCTAGAACGTAAGAATTCATCCTTTAAAACGGATAAAGCAGTAGAAAATCGGAGAGCTTTAATAGCATAAATACCCCGCAACACCTGAATTCATTGAGCAAAAGGTATAGAGTTATTAATTAAAAATAAATAATAAAGTAAGAGATCGGTTTAGAAAGTACAATAGGGATATAGCAAATTAAACATTATCCATCACTCGCCTGAGTAAACTGTGGGCCAGCCTGAGATAGGGACACTGCAAGATCTCCACAGACAGGAGGACCACCAGCTAAAATATCAAGAGACCTTGGAGTGATACGCAAGCTATCAAATCTTCATGGTCAAACATCACAAGTCAGATATCATCACTTCAGATGAATTCAACACATAAGATAATAAATGATTCATTAGAAAGATTATAAATTTGCAACATCTATGACTTAAATAGTAACGTAAGATCTTATTTAGGGTCCAAAACCCAACAAATTGCATATTCCGCAGAACTTAAAAAATCCGCAGATGTGAAGAAGAAACCTTGATGTTATTTGATATAATATTTCTGAAAGATCAAGCTTCTGCTCAAATCGTTGTTGCATTGTAGCAAATCCAATTAGAAGAGGTTCAAGAAGTCCAACAAGACAACTCCTTATCTCCACTCCCTTCTTCTGTCTGGGATTTATCTCTGTTGGATTAGCAAGCAATAATCGATCATTCAAAGCACCAGCCAGAACTGCACAGAAGTAACACCTTTTCTGGTTAGACCTATAACGAGGTAAGTACAAAATTTCTTGTGATGCCATATATTTTAGATAAAAATATTAAAATTGCAGTAAAAGGCAGAATAATATGCAGTGGGAAGAAAGAAAATCAACCCCCATATTGTGAAACACACCTGCATAAGGCATACTGATTGAAAGAATGGTCCTCACTTTTCCATCCCAGCCAAGCACACTAATTGCTGTTGCTGTAGAAAAGACAAGCGCAGGTCCAACCCAAAGCAGGGATCTAAAGTGCACATTAGTTAAGAGTTCCACCAAGTTCTTTTGACCAGAAAAAGTCCCAATTTGTGGACTTAGCAGAAGCACCAATGGTTATAAAAGGCTTATTAATGTAACTCATGTTTTGAGCACCTGAATAATATATTGCAGGAGTGTTGATTAATGTTATTAATAACAGTATACATTTCCTAAAAATTATAGAATTGAGGTAAATACGAACTTCCCATAAACCTTATTTTCCCACTAATTATCAAGCTCTTAACTTAGTCTCAAATTCTACAGCTTGCAGAAAATAGGTTGATATATTCCTAAACCAAAATTTTAGAACTCAGCCAGATGTCCGATTTTGTCTGGCATCATAGTAGGTAAACAAAGAACAGCTTATCAACCAATAACTTGTTAAGGATATTGAAGGAATTCCCTTATCAAATTTAGCATAACTGCTTGCCAGTATATCAAGATCTGCTGAAACCATAAGCACTCTATGGGTGGTTAATACTCCAGCAACAAGCCCTCTAAGAGTTTCTTGCCAGTGAACCTGCAAAAGCAAAATTATTGTTGTTTCCATGAACATGCTAGAAATGATCCGTCTCCACAAGAAGAAAATTCTTAAAAGTTGATTGCTATTTACTTGGTAGAGGATTATATATATAGAAGGATAGATAACATGAGTGTGTGCACATGTGTATATATCTAGTTATGTACCATTCAAACGAAGCAAGAGAGAGCATTCTCTCTGTTGCTGCCCCTTTCGTACTAATACCAAAAGTACCAAGAAAAATTCTTTGTCAATTCCTTCATAGCATCAAGTTTTTAATGCCTTGAGCAGTTATGATTACCTGAAGTACAATCTCATTTACTCTCAGCTTAATTGACTTTTTCCCTTCACCCTTCGTTGGTATATAGTTACCATCACCCTTTGAATGCCGATATCCCTGAACCATTTTTGCTAAGCCAATCTGGTCCCCATGAGATGCAAACAGTAATGTTGATTCTACATATACGGTGGATTAATGTCAGCATAATACAGCATTAGTGGCACTAATGTAATAGGATAAAGCATGAATGGGTACTGTCTACTCAGGTACCTAATGGAGTAGAGAAGATACGATCCACTTCAGTTTCAAACAAAAACAGGATGGGCCCACGGATAGAATTGTTGTTAGTATCTGCACTGTGGTTGTCTTCAAGAACTTTTTCATTTTCATTCTCTTGTGAAGTCTTTCCTGGCAGTATATATAAAGCAAGTCCAGTCTTATCGTCATCAAGAATAGCAAACTGGTTCTCATTGGGGCCAATAAAAGCAGCATCTCGACCTATTGACACCAAACATATATAGTGTTTCAACTATGTTGTTCATCATCCCTATATTTCTCATAAATTTACCATGAAGCATTGAACCAATTTGAACATATAAATGCAAACCTTTGACCGTGGTACATTTACTGTTTGCTGTTTGAGAATCAGTATTTTCCAAATAAAGTACAACTTCATTTGTGGCACCACTAAACTCGTAAGTTACAAGAAATAAACGCTGCTTTTTACTGTGAACAATGAACTTCGGATGGAATTCAACATTTCCTGGAATCTACAAGATAAAAAACAGATTCATACGTCAGAAGACTCGAGTAAAGCACCTTTTGATTTTGGAAATACTAAATAATAATGATTGAGGATACATTTATCTCCATATTACCGATGTATAAAGTTTCTTATAGATGCTATCTGATCCAGAGCATAGATTATATGCCATGAGGTTTTGACCATCTACATAAAAAGCCCTGACAGGATAATGAAGAACTCGATTTTCTTTACTGAAGAAATTCAACTCCAAATGAAAGGGCTGTCATTTTTATACAATTATGTTAGATTTCCAAAAAAAACACAATATAATTGCTACTACTTACAGCACAAGCAACTGGAAAAGATACCTGACAAACTGGAACATCCTTCAAATGATGTTTAGAATCTAAAATTGTGATAAGAGGTAACCAAGATATAGGAGCATTTTTTGCATGGCCTTCCATAAAATGCTAGAAAACAATTCAACAAAGACATATGAGTTCTTCAAACAAGGGGACAATAAACAGAGGAGTTTAATGAAAAAAATATATATATTTTTTTAGAAGGACAGAAGGTTTCCAGGATTTTGGCTTCAGAGACCTGAACTCACTAGAGACCTTTACGCTTTACAAAACAAAACCTTCACATAACTCAGAACTACAATATTGGATCTCTACAACATATAAAAATAACAAAGAAGAAGGGTAACCTACGCTGTAAAGGAAAGCCTTCCGTGCAATGTCTGATATAGTAAGTGAACTATGATGGCTGCCCAAAATGGTAAATCAAATAATCAGAAAATTTGATTGAGATGAATCTCCAACATAATCTAAGTGAATACAGGTTAAGAAGAGTCTACTCTTTCATAGTCAACGTCAAGCACCTTCCAATCTCATTCAAAGGAGTCAAAATTGGTCAAAATTGGGTCAAAATCCTTCCATTCTTGATTATGGCCGAGAATGTAGTGATTGGTTGACCTTTATTTCTAATCTTTTCATGCACTTAGGCTTTTCATACGTTAGGCTTTCCAATTGCTTGCCTTTTCATTTCTGATAAGTTATAAGTTTTCTTTTTTTTAACAAGATACGAACTTCTCAGTGAAATAATTAAAAGAAAATACAAAGTTCAAGAGATACAAACTCCCAAGGGGAGGGAAAAAGAGACAACACAAAATTACAAAAGAAAACCAAAAGATGTGTTAAAGATCAGAAGATACAAGATAAAAACAATCTGATGAGCAAAAATCAAGAAACTTGACAAGTAGACGTACCGAACCCTTCAATCAGGAAAGAAGATTGTAAAAACATCATAAAGAAACCCACACAAAGACCTTCACTTTTTTGGGATATTGGCCTTCCAAATCAACTTGATGAGGACTAGGTCGAACCATGGATTTATCTTTGAGAGTTAAGGTACTAGGGAACCAACCGAAAGTGTAAACTGAAATCTTCATGATTAGAGAGCCTAATAGCGTTTAAGGAATTTGAAAGAGGGGCCCAATCAGCAATCTCTCAATCAGTTAAGTGTCCTAAAGCACAAATTCCATCCCCTATCCTCTTCCGACCAGCATTGGTGAATCTCAGCCTCCTTGGTATAAGATATACTGTACAGACTTGGATAGGTGTCTTTGAAGGAAGTGTCTCCAAGCCAAGGGTCTTCCCAAAACCTGATCTTGTCTCCTTTACCCAATTTTAGGCAGTACCATTAATCTTGTCTCCTTTACCCATCACCTACTCTTCACTTCTTAAGTTCCCTTTTCATTAATAAAAACCATGTTTCTTGATTTTGAACCAAACAACTTGCCCAACATTCTATTCAAAAGTTCATTTTCGAGCTTGATCAAAGAGTCAAAGACTCTGAAACAAAAAGCAAAATAATCAAAAAGTAAAGGGGCACATCATAGCATTTTCCCTTTTTTTTTCTTTCAATGGGAAATATTCATTTCTCAATAATATAACTAAATGATCAGAATTAGGAATTAGGTGCCTATCCAAAATCTAAAAAATGAAAAGTTACTGGTGACAAGAGATCTTGTGAAACAACTTGACTGAGACCATAAATAGCCAAAGAAGTCACAAAATATATTTAACCCACACACACTAACTCCATGAAATGATCACATAACACTAAAACTAATGTCATAATTTACATAAAATTCCTTTATTTTGCAAGACATTAAAATTCTACCAAGCAAACAATGAATAACACCTATTAATAAATATTTTTCGTACATTGTAAACTTAATAGAATTTTGATTAGTACAAGAGGCACGAGCTCACCCTTTCAGATTATGTTCTTGCAGCTGCGCTTGAAGTTGATGGTCAGCCAATATTCCAGATGCACCCAGGGACGAAAGCTTTTCTTTCAAAACAGATGCTGTAACGGAATTCTACTATTAGTCTATTTAGTCAAATAGCAACAGGCTGGACATGAAGTATAATATCACCCTCACAAAAAGAAGAAAGCTTTATTTGATTTGTGGCCTCATCAAATTGAGTGAAGGTGTGATGTAGAAGCAGTCTTACATCCATTAGAAAATGTGTGCTTATCCTTTCATTAAGCTATCTGTGGTTCTCTGAATAGGAAGTAAATCACAGTAAACTAGTTACACTTAGTTACTAGGGTAATTAATACAGTTTTAAACAAAATAACAACTTTCCTACTGGCAGTTTAAACAAGCACTTTTATTATTTCCAACATCAATTCCCAGAGACATTGTGATTTCAGCTCCACCAAGAAGCCAAGTGTTGTATTATGTAAACAAAAGAAACATCCACCGCCACTTTGTCTCCAAAAATTCTAAGATTTCTTTCTTTCCAAATCACAGACAGTCACACTCACTGCACTGTTTCAAAAAACTTTAGCCTTCCTTCTAACTCTAAACTTCCCTGTAGAGCTTCCATCAGCCAAACATCTATATTGTTAGGAAGGCAAAATGAGATCCCAAACTGATTAAATGGAAACTTCCACCCGTTTTGGCAAATTAGCAATGCAGAAACAGAGGATCCATGGACTCCACCACCTGTTGACAGAGACTGCAAATGGAAGAGGATAATGTCCAATTTGGAATTTCATACTTCTATATTGATGCTTCTTTACATAAGGACCACACCAAAAAAAATTCACCTTCTTAGGGATGCAGGATTTCCATATCACATTAACCCAATTACACCTTAGAACTCCCATAGGTTTAGTCAAAAATAAAAAGGCTGATTTGGGAGAGAAGCTTAGAATTAATAACCTTCTGGGGGCTTTTAGCAAGGAGAACGCAGCCTATTAAGAACTGATTCAGTCTTCCACCCTTTGATAGAAGGAGACCCCTCCATTTTTCTAACTTCACTTTCAACTTGTCAATTAATTTCCCCTCACAAACCACACGATCTTTGGTTTCCTCCAAAAGGAAAGCCTATATAAGAAATGGGAAGATTCTCAGCTTTACACCCAATGCTATCGGCTACTTCTTGTACCTCGTTGATGTTGCTATTGAAGCCCACCGCTGTTTTTTTTAAGGTTCAAGGACAATCCTGAACCTAACGAGAAGAGCTTCAACACAAACCACCAGTTTTTTAGGGAGTCATCTAGGCATAAAATAAAGTAGCATCAGCATAAAAGAGATGAGTTACCTCCACCTGGTCCCTAGCTTGACGCCGGGAAGAATTTTTCTTTCAATACAGTAGTAGATCAAACGATTGAGGGAATCTCCTACAATAGTGAACAGAAACGGGGAGATGGACTCTCCCTGCCTTTGACCTCTTCTAGCGAATATTTTGTCCCTTGGTCTTCCATTAATGAAAATCGAATAGTTAACTATTGAGAGAATCCCTAAATCCATCTTCTCTATCTGTGGCCAAAATCCATCAGCTTTAATATTGAATCTAAATAAGCCCAGTCTATTTAGTCATAGGCCTTCTCGAGATGAAGTTTCAAAAGAAAAGCCTTCTATTTCCTCATAGGCCTTCTTGAAATGAAACTTCGAAAAAAAAACCTTCTCTTTCCTCATCTTCCACTCCCCATTCCCCCACTGCCTCTACTGCTACTAAGACGGCATCCAGGATTTGCCTCCCTTCCAAGAAAAAAAAGCCATCTAGGCATCACCAATAATCATCAAAAGTATCTTCTTCAAGCACTCAACTAACACCCTCAAGATGATCTTATAAAGGGAAGTCATCAAACCGGTAGGTCTAAACTCATTAACCCTTGCTGCATTGGTTTTCTTAAGGACCAGACAAATATAGGTTTCATTTGTGCATTTGTTTATTATACCATTTTCAAAAAATCTTGGAACACCCCTACTAAATCTAATTTCAAGATGTTCCAAGATTTCTTTAAAAACTCATTCATAAAACCGTGTGGGCCAGAGATTTTTTATTGCCTAGCTCAAAAATAACCTTCCAAATTTCAGCTTCTTCGAAGGGGACTAGGGACCTCAAGTTGATCTCTAAAAGTCTGGGGAAGTGGGATCTATTAGAGATTTTGGAAAGTAAATCTATGCCCCTCCGAATCTCCATGGAGGTTGGTAAAACAAATTAACAATATCATCTTCAATATCTCTCTCTCTCTCTGTCATTAAGATATGCCCTCAGATCCTTCAAAAGTGGAGATGAAATTTGTGGTGCCACAAGCCTAGGAAATTCTTTCTTTTTTTGGATAAGAAATAGTGATTTCATTGATGACTGGAATTACAAAATGTATCCCCAATAACAAAATTATAAAAAGCTGACTGTTAAGACCTAAAAAATATGAACACTTTATTTTGGGTAAAGTGTCCGTGTCTTCGACACCCTGACACTCCAACACTTATCGAACCCATATCAGACATGTGCAAAGTGAACCTAGATTTGGGACCCACAGACATTATCTTGGAAATTTACTTCTCGTCGGGCTTTGAAGGATGATGAGATCGAGGAATATATTTCTCTACTGTCACTTCTAAATCTATATTCTCCTGTCAATGGAGCAGATAAAAGGATTTGGTCCTTGGATAATTCAGATGACTTCTCAGTGGCTTCCATCCGCAAGCTTTCCTCAAATTTTCCCATGCCTCAAGATTTATTTAAAGCTATTTGGAAGTCCAAAAGTCCAAAGAAAGTGAGCTTTTTCATTTGGATTCTCTTATATGGAAGAGTTAACACAGCAGATGTATTAAAAAAGCTGTCTGGTCATGTTCTCATGCCCTCAATTTGCCCACTCTGGTTCACATTTTTTTCCTTTGCTCTTTCGGTCGCCAGTGTTGGGGTTTTATCTTTGAAGTTTGTAATTTATCATGGGTCTTTGGAAATGTAGCTGCTGATAACACCCTTCAGCTTCTTCTGCTCGGGCCAAGTTTTAATCCTAAATCCAACCTTCTTTGGCTTAACACTACAAAGGCTTTACTCTATGAGGCACGAGCTGTGGTATGAAAGGAATCTCAGAATTTCCAAAGACAAGAGGCAATCTTTCTCTGTTCTCACTCTTTCGAGAGTTTGTATCTTTGAACATCTTGTTCCTTTTCATTATTTCAATGAGAAGTTAGTATCTTGTTAAAAAAAAAAAAAAAAGAAAGAAAGGACTTTAGGTCTAAAATGGATGAAGAAGCAACACCCAAAAGCAAGCCTCATTTTGTTCCAAAAACCAGTACCATAATTGCAAGACACGCAGAGGTGGTCTTGCGATTCAGCATCTTCCATGCACATATGACAGCAACTAGGAAATTCTTTTGTAATTACAGCCACCATGATTATTCAAGATTGAGGAGTCATTCTTATCTTGCTTTGGGAGGGGTCTTCTAATCCCCTCCCCCTAGGCTATTTTGTTTTCTTTCTGTTTTAATGAAAAGTTTCTTATCAAAACAAATCGACATGGTATGAAAGTGCACCATTTTGCAAGAACGATAAGAAGTAACAAATGTTGAATCCACACCCCTTTGCACTATGGAGCCCCCAAAAAAAAGTCCATTGGGAGGTCATCCTAAACGTTACTAGGTATAGCAAGTGAACAATATATCGCAGTATTAGTGGACTCTTCCTTTCCTATTAGATACCCCGGCCATCTATTGACAGACTGAAATGTCCTTTTAGGACCTTTTCTCTGATGTAACCTTGCAGTATGCAAAGGCACTAAACCTTTAATAGAAAACCTCTCTTTTATGAGAACCCTTCACATTCAGATTTCTTTTTCATTTGGCTCACACGTGAAATGCTTATCATAGTCATTTTCAAAACTTTCCAGTGCTGTTATTTCACTTGCTAGAAAATTTCATATATCACCCGTCTGGATTAACGCATTTGGAGATTTATTCGTCATTCCCTGTAAGTGTTGTGCAGTAAAATCAAATTTCTATAGAAATGTGAACCGTATCCTCTATTTCACTGGTGCCGGATTCTTCACTATCATGATATACAAGTGGCAGGAGATGACGCACAGTTCTCTGTTGCAACAACAAACTTTTCAAACAAGATTTCCAGGTCTTGATTAAAAATATATATATCTCAATGATTATCTATGTTTTTTAGCTGTCACACTGGGTAGATTTGAGTCAATATCAAGTAAATGATGCCTCTGTCAATAATATTGTTTTCTCCTTCATCCCGGAACCAGCCATCTCTCTGTGTCTATTATAAGTACAAGTACATAATGGTCTGAAGAAAACATCATTTCAACTTATACTACCCAAGGGTAAATGGAATAAATTCCTTCTTTTCGAAAAAGAATAATAATAAAATGTCGCTTACATCCAGTCACATATGAGGGTAACTGAACTAAGAAACTAATGATGGTAGCTGAAAAATGAAATTAAAATGATGAGTATATAGCTTTTAAAAAATCTTCACACACCAATCAAATTTTATGTTAACAATTAAAAAACATATCTCTGTAGCCATCAGAATTGTATATTAAACGCAACATAAAAAGGAAAACATAACAAAAATGGTTGCATGAACATTCAGGTATAATATTATTGTGTGAAGCTTAACATAAATTTGAACATACTTCCATCACTATGCAGTTTAGCTTAATTTATACTTTTTTACCTATAGATGATGATAGATATATAAATATGAAAAGTATGCTGATTCGCTGAATGAGGAGAGCAATTACCAGAAGATCCTCTTGCACTTTGCAGAACTGCAAATAGTTGTTTTCGCCCTTCCCTTGTGTATGCAGCCCTGTTTTTAACAGTATCAGCCCCTGACATATTCTGTCAACCAAAAATGTAAATTCAGCCTTCTGAAAATTAACAAACAAATTAGATTCTATAAAATAGGTCACTTAACTGCAAACAGCAATGCTGCTAAATTGAGTTTAGGGTGCACTTCTAATGATTTGATCCTAGGCAGAGGATAAACTGCTTCTCCGCCCTGCTGAGAAAGGATGCGAGGTATATCGATGGATTCAATCACTGCATTAACATAAAAAATATAAAAGATAAAAATAAAACACGTAGTACAGCAAAAATCATATATGGAAATTGGAATGATAGTTCACAGACACCTTTGGACAAGAATCACAATAAAAAAATAAAAAATAAAAAAAGTTTATATCCTAATTATAGATTTGTGGAAGTTTACATTCAAATAACACCTCACCTGCAGGCTCAAAGAAATTTGCTTGCATGGGAGGTCTATTTGGATTCAGTATGACTCGTGTTTTCCAAACTTGGAGGTTTCCATCTTTGGAGAGACTAACAAGTAACCGTAACATCGGTAGCCACGCAACTGAAGTAATTGGCTGGGAACCTACTTGAGTACTGAAATTCCAATGACAAGGAAGACAATTACAATATTCTCAAGACTCTTAAAAGGTAAACTATGCAAAGCGATTAATGCAATAAATGGCATCTACCATTCATGAAAATTTATTATATATAAATATATATTCCAATGAATTAAGCATTTCAACCACAGGTAAGAACAATTTAAAAACTGTAGTCTGGGCTACATAAATCTAGTTGAGACTCTACATACTATAGAAGACTAGATAAAGTAACAACTTTATTTATGTAAACCTGGGAAGCTATTAGTAGCTTATGCTAAAATATCGAGAAGAATTATGTTGAGATATCGATACAAAATTCTTTTTTTTTTTTTTATAAGAAACAGCACTTTCATTGAGATAAATGAATAAAGACTACAATAAGAGGGCATACAAAAAAACAGCCCAGCAAAAGGAAACCCCTAAAGAAACGGGCTCCAATCCAAAAGTATGACTCCTAACTGATAATTACAAAAAGCCTTAGTGACCGATCGTCATAGAGAAGTGTTAAATCTAATAAGATCCCACACATAATCCACAAATCTCTCCACTCCCCTAAAAATTCTATTGTTCTCTCCAGCCAAGTACCCCATAGAGTAGCCAGAAAACATGCTTGCCAAAGAAAACGTCTTTTGTATATATATACATACATGTTGTGTGTGAGTGTGTATCTTAACAATATGTTCTGTACCCATCTTTTACAAATGTGGCATATGATAGGACACCTTTTCAATGGCTTTTTTAATCTGTGGCTAGTAAAACTTGCAAATAAATTGATCAAAGGTCTTATCAGGGTCAAGATGTCCACCCCCATCTCCTTGGTGCCCATACTTTGAACCTTATTTCCTTCAAGAAATTTATAGGTAAACATAATTAACCTTCATAACCTGTTTGTCATAGAGTAGTACGAGAACTTCTCTTGTCTCTAGTACTTAGACCACACATAAAAGAACCAGACTCCAGCTTAATGGTAAAATTAAACCGCTGAGGAAATTAGATCCAACAATGATGCAGCTTAGATCTGATAGATCACCACTAAACAGCACAAACTCCTTCCTGGTCAAGGAATGCTCTACCTACTTAGAGTTAGATCTTCTAGAGCACCAAATTTAAGTTCGTGTCTAGCAATAATGACAAGGGGAAATATGCTACTTTTTACTGATGCAACCAGAAGATTTTTAAAAATTAAAGAATTAATGTGATGGCTTGTAAAGCCCACAAGCAAACATGTAACCATAATGACTCACATTCCAATCATATTAGGTCTATCGGTTGAAACGTCCCATGCCAAAAGTGTACCCCTTCGATCACCAACAAAAATCCATTCTAGAGTTGGATGAAATGCAAATGCACCAGCACCAATGAGCTTTATAGTGTTGTCAACTGAATGCAAGATGACATGAAAACATTTGTTACTTTCATAAGAACAATATCCTGCATCCTTACAAAGAAAAAGGAAAGCATCCACTCTCATCTCACGTTGCAGAGTATAATGAACAGCATAAGTATGAATGTTATACGCTCGAATCAAACCATCAGCATATGCCACATACTGCATGGGAAGGAAAAAGAACAGATGCTTAGGGTTTCAATAGACACAAAAAGCAGAAGATATTTGAAAATGAGCAAAGGATAAAGATATTACCAATAGAGGTAGGCGAGGATGGCATGCAAGATTGACAATGGGTTTCTTCAAGTCTGTCTTAATTTTTGTTGGTGTCCTACCCCCTTCAACCGTCCCAACAACTATCATGCAGCAACAAATATTTAACTGTTATGCAGGCAATTATGCATGTAAACAAGTAAGAGAAGCACAACCACAAAGATTACAAAATTTGATTTATTGATGATTATTGCAAAGAACTGACCTGTCACGCTCATCCTTTTGTGGAATCCAAAAAACACAACAGGTTGGAGAGGTGTCAATGCAAGATGCACCTCTGCATCAGATGAAATCTGTTCCATCTTCTTTTCAGGGGAATGTAAGACACAAGTTTGCTCCGAGTCGAAGTCACAGGACCTAATTGTGCAATCCTACAAAAGGGAACAAAAGATACACATGAACTACTGCCAAAAAGTTCCTCACATGAGCATTCTTCTTTATAGTATTTGTATTTCTACTAGAGATCCTGGATCCTGTTCCACCAGCTACTTTACCTACTGAATCAGGAATAGATACTAACATAGAAGGCAAAACTTTCATTATGTAGTATGGAAATACAAACAAAAGTCCAACTGACAAGCGGTAAATGCACAAAGCAGCTAAATCTCCGAACGCATATGACCTCCCCCTCGTGTTTCTTAAACTCCCTTGCATCCACAAGCCAAGAGGAGACTTTTGAATACTTGGAGATGAACTTCCAAGGGATCAATCAAAAGTAGCCTCATCTATTACAATGTAATCCATAATCACAATCAATGTACGGTTAAGTCCTTTTTCTAATGGGAATACTCAAACCATTATTTAGCCAACGAGGGTTTTTTTGTTCTTGACCAAGTTACCAATTCACCATCCCCTTAGAGCTATAGGATCTGAACCTCGTCCCATTAAGACTAAATGAGGCCCCCGCTCTCCATTTCTTCGAACAGGAAAGCCTTAATAAGACAATCCATCCCCCTAGGAACCCCCCATAAAATTCCTAAAGATAGAAAGGTCAAATGGAGAAATACAAGAAAATCCCAATCTAATAAACATAAGCATACAAGAAAATTCCAATCTAATAAGCATGAGCCTTCCAACCCTCAAGAGACAGCTCAGTTGGCAAGACCTTGAGGTCTCTTGGTCATACTAGCTTGGAGGTCTCAAATTCAAATCTTCTGGTGAGCTTAATACCAAAAACTCGGGCCTTGGAGCGGGTGCAGGTGCCCTTGGGTATAGGGGAGCAAAGCTCCGACTCCCAATAAAAAAAAGATAAGCATGAGTCTTCCTCCTTTAAAGAAAAATTCTAACAGTTTCAAAAGAGTTTAAACTATGACCTGATAGGAGACTAAAACAAAGTAAACTGAGTAGTCTGCCAAAGTAGGCAATCTAAAAATCGTGCCATTATCATAGTAAACCCAGATCGTGCACTTGGCTCTATTAATTTAAGACAAACACCTTTTCAAACAAAATATTTTATATATGTAAAAAATGAACTTAAGGTTTTCAAAAGATGCCTCTCTACTCAAACAAAGAAGAATGTGACATCCACAAATTACAAATGTGTGAGATAAACTCTCTCAATGTTCAAGGAAGATCTCAAATATAATGTACCAACCTCAAGCATCGCGATCACAGCATGCCCACTTGTGGTACTATAAGACATGCGAACAACTCGAGCACCAATGTCAATGGAAGAGATCTTGCAGCCAGTTAATGCATCACATTCTGTGACCAAAAAAGTAACATGGAAAAACATCATTCAAAAGGCAACATGGTGCATAACCCGAAAGAAATATATATTAACAATAAATGCTTTTCAAAATACTGATTAATCAGATTGCCAACATTACAGCCACACATAATGACGCTTTCCCATCGTTCAGGAGCCGTATCAAAAACTAATTAATCATAAAGTGTGACAGGCACAAAAGAGAGATCGAGCATAGGCCCAATTAATAGGTAAAATATCATTTCTTGCCAAGTCCAGCTCGGAGTAGCTAGGTAATAACTACAAGCCTACAACCATATAAAGCCTAGTAATGATCAAACCACCCAATCCCCTAACATAGCGACTAGCATGGTATCCTAACTTATAACATCACAACATGTTCCCAGTCTGAGTAAAATATTCCGCGAGAAAGAAGAAATTTGCACACAGTTCTCTTAAGTTTTCCTTCTTCTACTCTTAAGGTTCACTGTCAAGCATTTCCATATAGCAAATTGATTTAGAAAGAATAACCATCACGTTTCATAAGTCAGCTGCCTACAACGTCAGGTGAGAACCTTGTTACTATAATGTTTGCCCAATTACCGTAAAATCCAGAATTGAACCGCCCAATTGGCGCGCGCGCGAGAAAGTGAGAGAGGGGGCTGGAACAGAGACACACAAATGAAATAGTTCACAAATGAAATAAAGCAGAAAGAAGTACTGACCGAGGATATAAGTCCCGATGGCGACGGCAACGAGTGCCTGATGGGGATGAAATGCGGCAGCATGCGGTTGCAGTGGCTTGGTGCCTCTCCCTACATGCCGTAGATCCAGATGCTGAATCGTCGTCCACTCCATTTTCTACCGAGATTTAAGCTGTACAGCTATGGTGTCATATGCCCATAGACAGAGTAGAACTAGAATTGAAGAATTGAAGAATTGAAACACAGTTCAGAAAAGTTATGAATCAAATTGGATCAAGAAGAAGAACGATGCAAGGAAGTTAGATCTTCAAAGTAGATATGATTGAAATGGTACCTGCTGAATTAACGAACGATCTTTCTTTGGGTTGATTCAACTCCCTCTCGCTGTCTCTGCCTCTGAAGTTCGAAGCGAAAGAAGAAACAGAACGTGGATCTATCATGGGCTGGAACTGGAACTGGAACTGGAACCCATTTATGGACTTTTCTTCAAATTTCCACCCCACCTGAAGAAGGTTCAAAGCTGAAAGCCCATCGGTCGGGGTTTCCAAAAATTTGGCCCTAAATCAAATCTCACTTAATTTCGAGTACTGATGTTCTGATCGCTGAATTATGCTGTCAGCATTTTCTACTAGTGTGCTACCAGGTACATTGCACGAACTCTTTTTTAACTTAATTAATTTTATAAAAAAAATATCACTAATAATAAAAAAAAACAATAATAAACAAAGAAAAAAATAAAATGTATTTCTTTGCAAACTTCATAAATAAATAAGCATATATATACATTGTTTTCTATTAAGGATTTAGTTCAGTATTTTGTCCATTTTTAATTTCAAGTTTTCTATAAATTTTAAAGTTATCACTTAATTTTCATATCAATGCTCAATCAAACTAAATTCGTAGTCTCTGTCAATTTCACCATATCTCCCCTTTTAAAATTAGTATATATCTTATCATTGATAAACATACCTAGCTTCAAAATCAAATTGTAACATCTGAAATCTTTAATTCATAATATAGATTGACTCAGGTATCATATTCCCTTGCACACATCATCTTAAATTGTTTTTGAGTTTATGGATAATGGAAAAATGAAGAAAATGAGAGTAAATAAAAATAGAGAAAATAAAACATGGCTCATATTGTGAGTGGAGCAATAAGGAAGAACCCTTTTTCATAATAAGAGAATAAAATAATAACAAAAAAATTCAAATATCAACTATACACTCATCTTTTAGATACATCCAACCTCATAAAATTGTAAAATGGTAATGTCGCAACCTAGCTTGGTATTCAAGATATATAGATTTGGCACGTGCATCATTTGCAACTTGATGAATATGCGGCCAACATCTTGAGATGTTTTCGAGATTGAATAATCTTTGAGAGATGTTTTGAGAGAATTATTAAAAAAATGGTGAAAAAAAGCCTACTTTTATAGCAGTAAAGAATAAAAAGTTAAAAAAGCTTTTGAAATTCTAAAACTCTTCCAATTCTAATATGAATTATAATTAAAGAAAAAATTAAGACCTTTTCCATTATAATCTTTTAAATCCTATACATTTATTAGTATTGATAATTAAAGAAAAAAAATTAATTTTATGGTGTAGGAAAATCTTTTGCATTCTAATCTTTTAAATTCTATAAATTTATTCCTATTAATAATTAATTTAATATTTATAATAATATATTAATGGCATAATTTGTAAATTAATAATAGACATAAGGTCGGAAAAAAAAAGTTTTTCCTGACTTTTTTTCCCCTCTTCAAGTTCAACTTGGGTAGGGTGAACATTCGGATTTTTTATATTTAAAAAAGTTTTACCAGTTGAACTATTTTCAACTTCATCGTTTTTTTTTCTTTTTGCTAGATTAGCATCTAAAAGGTATTAATTATTTGATAAAAAAAAAAGTGTGAAGTTTGATTTGTTTATCTAGGTTAGAGTTTTAAGCTTAGTTTATAACGAAATTATGTTGCTTGTGAATCTTGGCTTGAAGTACAGGTTTTTTCAACTTAATATATTTTAATTAATATTTTGATAATAATAGACATACTTAGCACTAATTAATTGTATCTATGAAAATGTCACCCTGTGACGGATATTTAATACCATGACATCAACAAGTACATAAAATTAAATTTATGGCTGCACTGAATACTTAATTATTTAAATTAGTAAACAATATAAATACTAATTTTATACTAGGTGAGATCTCAAATTTTCAAAATATTTGTTAGTCATTTTTTTTAAGTTGAACATCTGGTGGGTTAGGATTCGAATTTTTTACCTTTAAGAAAAGTTACTAATCTTTCAAGTAATTGAGTTATGAACCACGTAAAATATAAGACTACAAAAGAGATTGGTTGCTTTTGAATATGTTGGAAGTGTAGGCTTTTTTAACCTAATATATTTTGTTTACTATTTTGATAAAAGTAGGCATGTTAGCAATGATAAACATACTATTTTTTTTTGGAAGAATAAACATACTTAGTACCAATTAATTTATTTAATTTAAGTGGAAAAATAATGAATTGGAGAAAATAAATTAATGCGGATATTGAAAGTTTAAAGAAAAATAATTGTAATAAATAATAAATAAGTGAAAAAAAGGCACAAGAATGGATAAAATTGATGTTTATTTAATTAAAGAAATGAAAACAATGAATAAAAAAAACTAAAATTGTTATAGAAATTTTAAGAAAAATAATTACAATTAAGTGAATGAAAAAGGTAGCATAACTAAATATTTATTACTACCCCAAATGGGGGTAGTCTTTTGTATAAAAAAAATGGTGATAGTCTAATGGTGACGTGTCTGGAGTAGGTAGATACATCGACATGTCGAACCACTTTTAAAACGCTGGTCTGATCTTCCACCACTAAACTAAAAAGAAAAAGAATAATAATAATAATAGAAAAAAAGAGGTTTTTTTTAAAAAACTATCTTGATTGATTAAGGTATCTATTTCCCACTAAAAGGTCATGAGTTCAAATCTCTATACTCTACATATTATTGTATTAAAAGAATTAATATCTATTTAGTTACTTACAAATCACAAGCAATTTCCTACTCAACAAAGTATAGTGATTATTTTGGTCATATCATTTTCATTTTTATCTTGTTTATTTCAATCAAAATTTTAGGCACATGACACTTTACTTGCTAATTTTTTTAAAATGTAGCTATAAATTTGCATGAAAGGATTTCAATTGTATATAAATTTTGTAATTTTACAAATATATATCAAAATAGTCACTTTTTAAAAAACAATGACTAAAAAAAGTTATAGGAATTAAAATGAACAACAGTTGAAAATGGAGAGATCAAAATAGACATTTTAAAAGTACGGGTCAAAATAAATTTTTTAGTACAACAAATACGAGGATGAAGAATTGAACTTTCAGTGTGTAGGGAATGAACAAGTTGTCTTAAACATTAAATTATACTCATGTTGACTTTAAGATAGTATTTAAAATCAGAAAAAAGCTCCTTTTTGAATTTATGTTTGTAAAGAGAAATCTAACTTTTTTTAAATATGGTTTTTTTTGTTTATTACAAACATTCTAGATTAAAAAAAAAAAGAAAAAAAACTTTTACTTATCTAAATTCATTTAAGAAACGTAGTCTAAATTAATAATTCTTTCAAAAGCTGTTATAGATAAAGTGATTTTTAAAATCACTTTTTTCAACACACTATGTGTGCGTTTGGGAGTAATGATGGAATTAGTACTTTTAAAAAAAGAGATTTAAGTAAAATTGATTTTCTAAAATCATCATCCAAGTCGTACCTTAGAAATTGATTTTAAATTTCCTAAAATCAATTTTTTAATTTGCCCAACATGATAATGGAAGGGAAGTGATTTTGACAATAGCAAAAGTGATTTTGACACTCCGAAACACACCTTATATATATTATGATAATGATTTATCTATCCATCAATATTCAGGACAATTAAGAGAGAAAAATGTAAAAATAAATACAATTTTTTAAAAATAATAAGCTATCAATTTCTTTATGATAATTAGAATGGAAATAGTCCCGAGTAATAAAAAACCAAGTATTTTTTCTTAATTTAATAATACCCAAGGTAAATTACAAAAGAGTTTTAGGACAAAATGAAAGAACAATATCTTTGTACTCTCACACTACTTTAGTGCAAGGGATTTGATTGTAAGGATTATGCTCTAAAACATGTAAACCTTAAACAAAGGAATAAAAGTGCTTTTACATTTTCATTCTAAATCAAGGTAAGTGAAAGCATCATCAATAAGGCACCTAGGGAAAATGCACTTTCAAAATTCAAGATAACTATTCATCAACTCAATTCAAACTATTTTGCCATGAATAAAGCTTATGCGTATATCGATGAGTAGGTATCTTCCTCTTAAAATATTATAAGGAAATTTAAAGTCTATCTCTTTTCATGGAATCATACTCTATTGAAATTATCTGACTCCTCAATAACTAGAACAACGATGTCTTTGAAATATATCGTTTCACTGTAGAAGTCCCAGAACTGACGTGTCATACATCGATATATGAAATCTTTAGCTCATACTAGCCATAAAAATCATGGAGCAACCCATGCTCTTGCGAGTCGAGCTCATCGGATTTGTGGAGGTTTGGGAGCCCCCTTTTGCCAGTTGGTTTCAAAATTTAGTTTTATCTAAGATTTAATCGCTTGCGATTTTCTATTTAAAAAAAAAAGACGAATAAAATTGACAACTATTTATTATACTTTCTCTCTCTTATTTTAACCATTCATCTCTCTTAGTTATTTTTTTAATGATGGTATATGAAAGCTTCATCGTTCCTTCCTTCAACCAAAGTAAATAAAGAATGAGTCAGGATCCTACGCCATGAAATAACGATTTAAATCCTATTTTGGTCCTGACTTATTAGAGTATTTCATTTTGGTTCCTAAACTTATGGTTATTCTATTTTGATTCTTAAACTTTCATAATTTCTATTTTATTCCCGAAACTTATAGCATACTTCAATTTAGTCTTTAATCTTTGAAAACATCTATTTCGTTCCTTCAACTTTCAAAAGTATTTTAGTTTCTATTGTTATAACTATGTTGTCACCTGTCTAACAAATAGATGATTTGACAATTAAAAAAAACAAATAGATGATTTGACTTCAAATATGAATATGAACATGTCGACGATGTGAGTATATACCAAACTCACATATTCATCTCACGGAACCATGTATTGTGTGGAGGCAAACATCTACAACAAAATTAACAATAAAGACCAACATGATGATTATTTTTTCAAGAGAGAGTTATCAGACTCACTAACCAAAGAACAAAATAGACATACGTTTTGAAAACCCACAAACCACGAGTTTAAGAATCGAGATGAGGTTATACAACCCGTAAAAAATCAATACATATATCCACCAATTACATAGCTCAAACACCATTTCATCCCTATCTAACTTGTCAATAGCACACTTTGAGGGAGAAATTAATGAAAAGATGAATGAGATAAGGAACAAGCTAGAATGGGAAATGGGGTACAAAATAACGACCCAAGCTAAGCTAGCTAAGAGAGAGAATTGAATAGGGGAAATATGA